TTTTCCTTTTTGTTTTGAGTATGATGATCAATCTAATTTGAATAAATCAATGAATCAAATAATCTAAAATACAAAAACAAAATATGTAACATAATGTCATTTTATTAAACATATTTTGATGTTTATTATAATGATGATTAATAATAGAATATTAATAATAATTTATTTGATAAGAAATACACTCGAATTTTTATCTTAATATGAAATAACTCAAAAGTAAAAAAGAAATTTTAAATATTAAGATCTTTTTCAAGGTCTTTAATATTCAACAAAGAGAAATATGAACGACAGTTCGACAAATCTAATCTGTTTCCCTCGTTTATAAATCTTTTCATCTTAAAGCAATAGAATATGTATGTATTTAGAAGATTAATGTATTTATGTGCACGCATAGAGTAATAATAAACATTTTAAAATTGCACTTAGATCGAGTATCTAAAAATCGACTATAAACAATAGTGGATAGTCATAGAGTACATACTAAATCTATTATTAGTTAACATATGCGATAGATTATATTGAGAAATGAAAAGAAAGTAGAACAGAATTGTTTATAAACATGAAATAGAATAGGATTGAATGCCTTTGTTAATAATAAAAACAAGTTATTTAGTAGCAAAAACATATCGAATAAGAGCAACGAGAAAAGAGAAAAAAAGAATATTTGATAAATAAAAATAAAATTCTATTAGACGATAATAACTGATTTTCAAATAACATTATTGCAAAAAAAAAAAAAAACATAAAAATCTAATAATAAACTGATAGTCAACATTTATAGTAATGAATCTTCTGTGTTTCATCTAATCTGATGATTGTAAAAATGTGTTTCTTCTCAAATAATAATAACTTGTCTTAGTTTTCTGTTTTTTCTTATTTAACTGTCAAGTAAATCCAGACCTCGATTCTTGTTGAAATATTATCACGAATGCTACTCTTTGACATTTCTTTGAACGAGAGTAAATCTTTTTTAATAACGTTAATAATTTGTTCATTTCCGTGACTTTGTTTTTTTTTTTTCTATAAATTTTGCTACACACAAACTACATGCTAATTTTATGTTATTTCATCATGCACATTCATCAAAAGATAAATGTTATTGAAATAATACATAATTAATAATTTTTTCATTTGGTAGAATATGTTAAAATTAAGCATTTTTTTTTTTTTGATGTTTCTGTTCGAGATTTTTATTTGATTTTGAAGATGTTTTCTCTTCGGTAAATGTTAGGGGGAACAAAAAAAAGCCCTTGTTTTGAATACAATGTAATATGTTCAATTTAGATTGAATTGTTATATATGAGTAATAAAGATTTTTGATTATTGATGAAATATAATATAGTTCTACAAGTGTTTTTCAAGGTATCTTCATATGAGCTTTTTTTTTCTTCCCAACAAAAACCTTGAGAATACAAAACTTTTTGAAAATTCACCATGAATAATAAAAATAAACAGTTTATCTAGTCTACACAATGTCAATTATACATTTTTACTCAATCATACATCAATCTTTGATTGTAATAATTTATTGACGACAGAAAAAAAAAAAAGAGAAGAATCTATTTTAAATACTGTTTTATTACCGGAACATACATATTTTTTAATTATTTATTTGACTAAATTCTGTCTACTATTATGAACTATCCAAGCGTGTTTGACATACAATAGAAATGATATCTTAACTCTAATTATATCAAAAATGCTCAAATATTTATTTGACTTCGATTTTATGAACGACTTAATTTTGTTTTGGTCTTAAACTAGATGTCCTCTACCGAGTTCACCTGGTTGTTATTCATTGATGACTCAAATAAGTATATACTAACAAAAAATTACATGAATAACTTGTCAGTTTTTTCTTTTTACTAACTACTCTTCTTTTTACACGTCGACTGAGTACATTTATTAGCAAGGGCAAAGTATAATATTTGATAAACTTTATAAAGCGCCATTTTTTTGTTTTTGTCTTTTCATTATTATCTATTATTAAACTTGTGTGAATATAATAAAATATGCATCGATCTGAAATATATTCTGATAATTTTTCAAATAATTCATCAATAGAAAAAATCAAAGAATATCAATTAAATGATATAAATGAATTTAATGTTTATCGTGTATATGATACATTTATTGCTTCATTACGTGAACCTAATAATTCAGAATCATCTATTGGTACACAAGATTATATTGATGGTTATCGAGAATTAATAAAGTAAATTATAAAATAAAATATTCAAAAAAAAAAATTCTTTATTTTATGTTTAATAGATTCTGTGATTCACTTGGTTATATATTTAAATTTGTTAAAGATGATGTTATTGATAAATTAAATATATTACAATTATTTGTTGATAAAGATATATTAAATTTTGATACAATACAAAAAGCTATTAATTATGAAACTGAATATAATTTAATAAAAACAAATCCAAATAATTTTACTCGTACTTTATTACGACTTCATCGTGCATTACTTTTTATTATTGAATTTCTTCATGGTTTAGCTGAACGACCATTATCAGAAAGTACAACAACAATTGCAACACAATGTTATGATGCAACATTAAATAATTATCGTAAGTATAGCCTTTCGAAAATCTTAGAGGTGATGATGGTAGTGTCAAAGAGGAGAATCATATATTAACATCATGTTATGAGAAGAAGAGATAAGTTTTTTTATATCTATTCGCAAACAATGTGACGATTATAGAGTACCTAATGGCCATGAGATCTTAGATATTGACCAAAAAAAAAAAATGAAAATGATTGATTAAGATTATTCATTAAAACTAATTTAATATTATCTTTGAAGTTTTGCTAAATATAATAAAAACCCTGAAGGTTTAAATACATCCTTGACATCGATTTCTCTAGAGTGGTCTTCTATTTCTGAAAGTGATGTTTTATGTTTCTTTATTAGTGCACACAGCTTGAAATGTTTGTCTTGTCTTTTAATAGAAAACGTACTGGTTGCACTTTATTGACTCATGTTAGTAAACATAACATAGTTAAAAAATGTATTTCATACATGTCCTTTCGTTCTATTCATGTTTTATTTTTATAAGATTGGTAAATAGTTTAACATTATAAATTGAGAAGAATGATTATAGAGAAATCGAAGACATTTCATCTTGCTCTATGAAATAAAAATTTCGAATAGAAGCCGGAAAGATGATTTTTAATGGATCTTAATTTAAACTATTTTGCTGAAGAATTAATCCTAATAGAGAATCCTTTCAAGTATAGAAATGCTTTTTTTCTTTTCAAATTCTTCCTAATGATTACCATTCAGAAGAAAAATTACTTTAAAATTTTGTTCGCAACTAGATACAATTAAATATAAAACAAATATTCATAATATAACTATTTTAGATGCTTTTCTTATTCGTAAATCTGTTAAAATTGGATTTCGAATATTACCATCACGCTTACAAATAGATGAAGCTATTTTTCATGGTCATAAAACTGAATTACTTGAACAATATAAAACATTTATTAAAATTATTCAACAAATATATGACACAATTCAAACATTCTATACTGAAAAGAAATATTTACAATTGCCATAAATTCAAAAGAGACAAAGAAAAACATTATTACAGTGAAATTTTTATTTTTCTATCGTACATTTCTTTTTTTTGTGATATAATCATGCATTTTTTTTTTCTCTTTATTGTATATTTATCTCTTTGACTAATCATCAATAGGAATATTTGGAAATAAAATGCAAAGTAACGAATTTTGTTATTATCCAGGGAATCAAATCAATATGGAAATAAAACTAATTTCCGTTATTTTTGTTGGTCTGGAATAATCAATGAGTAGAATCTGTTAACGTCGATTTTCATCTGAATATATATCATAGAAAATATATGTAAACTGAGATTAATCGCAAAAATGTTTCCTCCCATGAGAATGTTCTCATTTCCAGCAAAAGTTATAAGCTTTGTTCTTCAATAGATATATTTTTATCATACGACATATGTTCTATATTATAAATAACTATGAAAAAAAAATTGCATCTTCATGTTCAATAATCATAGAATACGGAAATCGATTGTCATTATGTTTCACATCGAAAACGTCATGCAATCTTTTGTTTTCTTTGTTCAATTTCCTCAATCTAAAAAAATAAATTGCTTGACTTCTTTTGTTCTGCTGTTGCTATTATAACAAGTTTTTAAATTATAGAGAAAGCAAAAAAAGAGCAAAAAAAAAAAAAAAGAAAGTAGGATCTTATGTGTGCGTGTGATTTGAAAAGAAAAAAAAAAAAAAAAGCGACAAAAATTAAAACTTGCTAAAAAAATACCAAACCAATTGAAATGAATTAAAATTGAGAACATCAAGAAAAAACAATGAAATATAGAAAAGCAAATTATAGAAGATACAAACACATTTGCACACTTAATATAGAAACAGTCCATCTAGAATATAATTGGTTTTTCATGTTGTTATTAATGTTGATAAGAAAAAAGAAAACCGCACACTAGGTACGATAGGAAAGGTGGGGGGGGAGGGGGAGGGGGCGAAGCGATGGCAATAGCAAATGACAACAACAAAATACTTGATGAATGTGAATGTCCACAAAAAAGAAACGAAAGAGAAGAAAAAAAAAGATAATTGTATATTTTAACAAACAAGAAGCGAAATTGAAATATAGACACAAAAGAGCACAAAAGTTCATCACGTGAATAATAATAAAAGACAGACAGAACAAAAAAAAAGAAATGAATTATTTCGATAAGAATAATCGAAATGGGACCAAAAAAAGCGAATACGCACACATAATATATATTGCCTAGTATTATTCTGTTGTTTATATACTAAGCTACAAGAGAATGTTCAGTTATAATAATGATCATAATAATAATAATAATAATAATAATAATACTTGCTCTTGCTTAGAGTGCGGAGAAACACCGACGAAAAAAAGAAGGAGAAATTACATAAAACACAAGACAAAACGACAATTAATTGTAAACAAATTTAATAGACATTTATGATCGAGTTGTTGTTCCTCCTGTTGCTTGTTCATTCGTTGGTGCCGCACCATAACCTTTATTAGTACGTCGTTTGCGTAAAAATAAAATAGCCAAACCAATAATAATAAGAACAATAATTGATGCAACAATAATTATTATTGGTAACCAATTCATTCCTTTCTTTGGTGGTGCTACTACTGTTTCTGTATCACCATATGGTGTTCCTTCACCACCAGTATTTGAATCACCTGAAGTACTTGGTTGACTACCGTCTCCACCAGGTTGTTGTTCACTACCTTCTGTAGGCTGATGTTGTTCATGACGGTCTCTATCAGAATGATGCTCATGACCTTCTCTATCTTGTTGAGTTTCTTGAACTTTGTCTTCTTGTGGCATATCTCCGCCGTCATTTACTTTTGTTTGGTCATCACCCTCACGATTATCATCTTGATCTTGTCCTGGTTGTGAGTCTTAAAAAAAAATGAGAAAAATTAAAAAAAAATTAATTTTTGTACATCAAAATTAAAATCAATCATAAAAAAATTTTTTTAAATATCAAGCAAAACATCTATAATAAAAATTAACGTTGCACTTTTTATCTCTTAATCAAAGGTCATAAAGCAAAATATACATATTGCTATCAATTAAAGCCTTATACCATATAGGGATGAATCAGGCGTAGTATTATCATCCTTTACTTGTTCCCACGCTAAAGATGTTGTCGTTGTTACTGATTCTACATCATTAATTTTGTCATATTGATTTGAATAATCCCAATTTGATTGATCACTAGGATTTTTATCCTCATTTGTATTATCCCAATGGGATTTATCAGTAGGATTGCTTTCCTCATTTGTATGTCCCCATTGAGATTGATCACTAGGATTTTGTTCCTGATTTGTACTATCCGAATGAGTTTTATCACTAAGATTTTGTTCCTCATTTGTACTGTCCGAATGAGTTTTATCACTAAGATTTTGCTCCTCATTTGTACGATCCGAATGAGTTTTATCACTAAGATTTTGTTCCTCATTTGTACTATCCGAATGAGTTTTATCACTAAGATTTTGTTCCTCATTTGTTCTATCCCAATGAGTTTTATCACTAAGATTATTATCCTGAGGTGTTGGTTCCCATTGAGATTTATCGTCTTGATTATTGTAATAATTTGGATAATTCCATTTTGATTGATCATTTTGATTATATTGCACATCTGATGGATAATTATATGAATCTGATTTTTCATTATCATGTGTATCAACAACCTGGTTTGCATCAGGATAAGTAGGCCATGAAGGATGAGTGTCTGTAATTGTTACATAGAACATTGATTTCTTTTTTTTTTTGTTTTCTTTTTCTTTTTTGTTTTTCTTATTTACTTATTATTTCTACAACTTCTAATTAAACATTTAACATACCTGGTCGTTGTCCATGTTGCCATGGAACTTGTTCAGAAGCAGGTCTTTGACTATCATCATCTGTTTGTGTAGGTTGTGCATGTTGTGGTGGCGCAGCTCTATGATATTTTTCTCGATCACCAGCTGATACTTGATATGGTGCTGAATATACTCGTTGTTCACGTGGATGTAAAGCATCTGTACCATCTGCACGACGAATAGGTGGTGTTGCTTTAAAGGCGCGTATTGATGCATCATAATTATTTCTTATTGCAGCGCATGATGAACGTTCACAACCTTGTACATCACATGGTGTACGACCTGCAGCTGTACTTAAATAAGCAGCTGTACAGGTACAATCACGACCATTTGGTATAGCTAAAGAAAAGAACAAAAAAAAATTTCTTTTTTTTTTTTCTTGTAAAATTTCTTTTTATTTTTATTTACCTTGAACTGCAGTTTGTCCATTAGCTAATTTACCAACTAATTGACATTGTCCATCCTCATCTAATTTTTCAATATTTGTTTCAAATTCTTTAACACTAGGTACACTATTTAAAAGTGCTAATGATGGTTTTGGTTCTTTAATTGATAATTTTTCTAAACTATTTAAACCATTTAATGCATTTGGATCAATATCTTTATCAGTTGATATTGATAATGTATGAATATTAGGAAATTGTTGAAATGCATTTGCTGGTATACGATCAGGACTATAAACACGTAATTCGCCTAAATTTGAATAACTTGGTGGATTTTCACTGTTAAATTCAGTTATATAAAAAGCATTTATGATTAATTCATGTGCTGGATAAGCAGGAAAATTTTGTGCTGATAATGAGCTTGCTTGTTTAGCTAATTCTAAACGGCCAATTGTTCCTGTAAATGGTTGTGATAAATCCGAACGAATATCACCACCACTTAAACGTAAATATTTTATATTTGCACCATCAAATAATTGTTGAAATGTACCATGAAATGGATATAATGCATAAAGTTCTAATGTATCAACATTTAAATTTTGAAATAAAAATGGACTTTCACTTGGTGCTACTTCTGGATTATAAACTTCTAATGCCTGAAAATCAAAAAAAAAAAAAATGAATAGAAATTTTAATTTAGAACAAAAAAAAAGAAAATTTTTTTTTTACAATTTGTTTTCGTGCATGTGGTGGAATATTATCTGGAAATACTCGATTAAATACTCCAGCTGTTGATAAACGAAGTCCAGTAAATTTTTCAAATTTAATACGAAATTCAAAATTATCTCCATCAGGTTTATATAATTCTTTAATCGATTCAAATGTACGATCATTAACTTGAATATCACGTGCAGCTGCTACAACTAATTCAACTGATTGATATTTATGTTTTTCATTTTGTAAAATATTTAATGGTGATGGAAAATCACGAGTAGTCGTACATGTTACACGAAAAAATGAACATTTACATTCAAAACCTTCAATAGCATTACATGGTGGAACATCACTTTGTCGACGTGAAAGTGATCTTCGAAGAATTGATGATGTTGTTGATGATAATGATACCAATAATATTAAACTTAATAATACTATGCGTAACATTTGTTTCTTCTTTTTTTTATTTTGTTCGGTTATTTAATTTTCAAAGCTGTTTTAATTAAAAAAAGAAAAAAAGAAAAAAAAGAACAAATTTTATATTGAAATAAATTTCTATTTAATTACCCTAGAATGAATAAATGTTGACTATAAGAGTGAGAGAGCAAATATACTATCTGCACAAATATATTTGAATTGAACTAGTAGAATAGACTATAAATGTCGATCAGTTAGACCGACTAATAAACGAAATCTATAATTGTAAAATAATGAATCATTAGAAAAAAACAATTTCTAATCATAATAAAACATTGTATATTCATTTAAATGAATAAGTCATTGATGAAAAGAAAGATAAAAAAAACAAAAGGTTATTGAAACTATCTGAAAAATAAATGAATATTGTTTTAACATCTCTCCACGTGTGCCTATACATATATATATATATATCTGATGATGTAATAATCTTGAGAATTATATGTCTGGAAAATATAAGAATGAATTTGTGTTTATGTGTATGAGTATTCTGTCTGTCATTTCTTTCTCTCTCCTCCTGCTTGATCGTCTCTTTTTTTCTCATATAACACATTGAGAGAAGCGTTAATGAATAATCAGTCTCATTCAAAGTTGCTCATTTCTTGCCTTATATCTATAAGTTAGTCATATTTCGGCATATTGATTACAACTCGATTATTATTCTTAGTCAACAGGGCATTGGTACAGTCACAGAAGAGACACATATGCTTAAGGCATACTGTGAGAAAGGTAACATTGAAGAAACAAAACACACAAGTAATAACGACGTTGAGAATTTTCAAGAGATCGTTGATCATGATGAATAAATGATGGAAGATAGAAAGAGAGAGAGAGAGAAAGACAAGAGTGCAAGCAACCAAAAAAATTGAAAGTATAAGGGGACATACTTGTCCTTCTACTGTATGTTCAACAAGCTTGTTTGCCTCACGGTCTTGATGATGAAGGGAGATGGAATAGGTAAAGAGAAGAAAGTTGAAAATTGAAAGGGTAAGAGTAGTAAAAAGTAGGGGAAAAAGCAAAGAAAAAGAAGAAGAAGAAGAAGAAGAAGAAGAGGAGAAAAAAATGTTGCTCCCTTTCTCTCAATTCATCGTTGTCGTCGACTATTGTAAACAAAAAATTGGCCGTTTGTAGTAATAGGGGAAGTTAGTAGATACTCTTCTCTCATTTTTTTTCTATTCTCTTCTCTCTTTTTTTTCTCTATTGCTAACACAAATATGTGAATGTGGGTATGTGCGTATCTTACATAATAGATGCAGAGAGAAGAACGAGCAAAAAAAAGGTGCTGCCGTCGTCACTGCTGCCGCTGTGGCGCCGACTCTCTCTCTCTCTCTTCTCGTTGATGATGGTTACAATTGTAAGTGTAGTGATGATGTTGGTTTGTTGCGGTTACAAACCCGTACACACACGCAAGAAGAGAAAAAACAGAGAATAGTAGAAAGACATCAGTCCTCTCTCTCCCTCTCTCTCTTTCTCTTCACAACTTTTTGTTCTATTAGACGTTCTAGACACAAAAAAAAAGAGGAATGCTGATGCAGCGGTTTTTGTCTATTACTATTGCTTCGGTTGTTTTTAATACTACATGCGATATATTCATCTGGACACCAGACAACCTTCTCGTTTCAACAAGTTGAGAAAAGAGAAAAGACAACGAAGAAAAGAAAAAAGAGACACATAAAAATGAGAGAAACTATGTAAACCGCAATAAACTATTAGAGAGAAGAGAGAGTCAATCTCTTGTGGCCAACATGAGATGTAGCAATGATGAAAGTGTAGAGCCTCGTCTTATGCATGGCAAATTACTAACTGCAGAAGGACAGTTTACCAAGATCGCTTGATATGTCTATCCATCTGTCAGTATCGAATCCTTCTCACTTGTTTCTATCATGGTAAAATGAAGTATGCAATAGAAAACCTTGTGAACTCGCCGTCTCGAGTCTAAACCATTTGGACAATAACTTTATCAATGTCACTTTTTTTTCCTTGTATAACTGTATGTTTTCCTTTATCTAAATCTCGTTATGAAACTGGATCTTGTTGTGTTTTTTTTTAAATGAATGTGCATGACACCTTTCGTCAACAAAAATGTGTCGGTATCAAATATTGATGATGATTACCTTTGTTTGCTTCGATATAACTGGAGCAAAAAATGGCTAAATAGAAAAAAAAAGAAAACCTTCAAAGTACGTGCTTGCTGTCTGCATTTGTAAGCACAAGTGTCCTCAAAGCTATAATCATGAAAAAGAAAAAAAAAGAAGACAAAAAGAAAAACGAGTTATATGGAAGAGAAAAAACGCCTTAGATGCACTATCATTCAGCAGAACTTTGGCCCCCAGATATAAAAAAAAAATGAGACGTGCCAATATTTCGTACACAAACACATTTTTACTGTACTTGCTTATCAGCTTTGTTTGAAAAAGAGTGGAATTTTTTCTCACATCACTATTTTACCATCAATGAGTAAAACTCGACAAAAAAAAAAGAAATAATGAGAAACACAAAAAAAAGATGAAGAATAAGAAACAAAGAAAATGACCTTTGCTTGATGTGGATTACCAGTCGCGACCGAGACACAAACTCAACTACTGATGATACAAAGCGATGATCCATTCACCTCGCATAAATATACTATGTCTTTAGGCGATCATTGCCTGTTGCTATTCTTTTTTTAACGAAGTCTGTTGTCTCTTATCTCGATGCTTCAAAGCAAATATATGTGCAAGAGAAGGAACGAGAAAAGAATAAGCAGATTAACTATTGTTGTTCTTTACTTATCGACATCTTTATGATTACTATTGAAAAAAAAGAAGGCGACAGACCAAGAGAGAGAGATAGTGGAGAAAGTTGATATTAATTTTCCTTGTCTGACGTATTTTCTTTTTCTATTTTTGATCACCAAAAAAAAAAAATATATATATATATATATATTCAAAGATCTTCTTATCATAACGTTCATTTCTTTCTTTCTTTTTTTTCTTTCTTTTCTTTCTTTTTTTTTTTCTTTTCACTCTAGTTACATATTCATAACGACACTTTTCTCAAGGGTAATGCGAGGTTTTGGTAGTTCAATTACGAGGAAATACTTCTTTGATCTATACAGACATGTCAACCGATGAAATAGAAGAATTGTGTATTCTTCAGTTTTTTTTTTCTTGTTTACTGATCTCTTATACACAGAAGAAAACATGTTCATCAAGGATTTTATGAATAAAAATATTTTCCATATGTAATGGACTATAAGAATATCTTAATTATAATTATATATCTCGTCAAATACCTATCTAATATAATAGTATTCTCCTGCTTGATCGATCTCTAATATATTCATTATATATACATATTAACGTAACATGATAGATAAAAATCAAATGACAAGAGAGAGAGAGAGAGAGAGAGAGAGAGAACGAAGAAAAGGAAGCTTGAGCGACTCCCAATCGAGCTCTCTTTCCATTTATGATGTCAACGGAAACCAAATTTTTCTTCTTTTAGTGACAGTTATCGAGGCGAAAAAAACTTAATCATTGTGCGTTTCGTTATAGTAAGGATGTCTACTCTCTTATAGTCTTCAAGTACTTTATTGATAAACAAGAACATTCCAACCATTCTACTGTCACCCCTATCCAATTATGATAACAAATAAACTAATCGAACTTTTTTTTCTTCTTCTCTGTCATACTTCAATTTTTTTTTGGAGTTAATTTATCAAAAAGAAAAAAAAAAGGAAAAAAAATGCCGTCATTTGTTTCATGTTTATTATATAGTAAGAAAAGAAAAAGGAGACCTTCACCTTCTTTTATAACGGTCGAAGGACAATGATGACAATTACTGACAGTGAACGTCAAGTTGAAATGAATAGAAAAAAAAATTAAAAGAGAAAGAAAGATTCTATAGAAATGAAACATACAAATGTAAAATATAGGATTAATACAATTAGATCCTATTAGACTTCATTTTTTTGCTATTTTTTTTTCCATTTAATGACATATATTGTGAAATGATGTGTGTTAAACAAAATACAATATATTGTGCTAGTATGAAATATTCAGAACGGTAAAATGACTTACTCTTCACGACATCCGAGTGTAAATATACGTACGGACAAGAGGAAGGACAAGTACGACGAGTTAGTATGCACAGAATGAGCTTTGTATGCGCCTCGGCGGGTGTCCTTGGAGAGTAGCGAACAAGAGAGCGAGGAAATCATAGCACGAACACAGGACGACGGTGGTTGGCCGCTCGCTTTTTTTTCTGTCTCTTCATCTTATATGCGTACGTGTCACGATTTTTTTTTTTAAGACTAGCAATGGAGATGGAGACGTACACGCACACTCAAGAGAGATACGGAGACGAAAGAGAGAAAAAGAAAAGTAGTATAGAGACCTATTTCATCTTTCAACAGCATTTGACACATCGTTATTTATAAATAAATAAATAGCTCCTACCAAGGTTTCATTTTAAATCAAGTAACAGACAAGCTGTGCTCACAAAATGTGATGCCGATATGAAGATTTAATTATTTATGCGTGTCATTTTTTTCTTATCCTGTTAAATCTTATCTTCAAAAAAAAAAAAAAATAAATAGAAATTTGACTCGATTAATAAATTCAAAAAGAAAATATGTTCTCTAAACCTTAAGAGTAACTTTATCTATCTGTTCAACATCTATCTTCATCTATTATTATTAGAGAGCTGGTGTTTTTCATACATTTGAAAAAGAAAAAGAAAAAAAGCTTTTTCCTTTTCTTTCCATATTCAGCGAAATCTTTTTCTTTTCATTGTGTAGATACTTTTTTCTCGTTACTTTTCTCCTGCCGATTTATTTCTCACACACATCCGTCAAGTAAAATCTTTACATGCAAGCATCTGAATACTCTGAGAAGTCCTAAGAAAATCTAGCAGAAAGAAAAAAATAATAATAACACGTCTAGCCGAATAGAACAATGATGAGAATAATTCCATATTAAAATAAGTCG